GTCTTTGAGCCTGTATATCTATTGTGTGATCCCTTTATAGCAACGATTTCAGGTGGTTGTTTACCACAGTGATTGTCTTTGGGGCTCTTCGATTTTCCACTTCTGGCTACCCGCGGGCTGCGGGAGCCAGCCAGAGTGCGCTCGGTTTTCTCAAGTTGCCTCTTGGCGCACTTCCAGATGGCATTTGTTTTTCTCCAATTGGATCGTTCCGGCTACTCGGGGCGAGCCCAAGAGTCGCCAGGCGCTTCCAACACATAGTCGTGGAAGCTCTTTGTGAGCTCTTGGGCACGTTTTGGGCTAGCAGACGCCGAAAAGATACGATACGCCCTCGCAGCCATCCTTGTGAGGAGTCGACGGACTGCTATGTGGGGCCTTGGGAACTGCACCTTCGCTTGTCATCACGCGTGGCGTTATCTTCTAAAGCCGGTTTTGCTGTGCGAGATGGGGCGATTACGAGTCGTGGTGAGCGTTTGAAGCTTCTGTTTATCACTTTTATTCTTGTTGCCCGTGGAGCTTCCTTCTGTGAACAACCTGGCGAACTATGGCTTGCTAACTGTGTCATGCGCATGCCTCAAAAGTTATCTGCACATTTGTACTCGCGCATGGAGACAACTTTCGAGTTATTTTTTTTCGTAGTTGTCATTTGTGGTGCCGTGTCTGCAAAGACTACTATGGTCAAACTAGCTCACTCCGTCGTATGTTTGCGTGCATCTTTTAAGGAATCGACTGCTAGGTCTTTGATGGTGATAGAATGCCCACATTGAATACTAGAGATCGTGACAGTTGCTTTTAAGTGTGTTATGCTCGCTGGTCGCAAACGGCATGGGACCGTACTTTAATGTATGGGTTAGCATATGTGGTATATAATTATGTTACGCTGGATTGAGAAGTGTATACATTTTCTCGTAGCCTATTTTATCAGTGAATTTCGGTTTTCAGCTGCAAGTAATAATGGCGTGCAGTATGCCTGGTTATGGCCTAGTAGCTCAAAGCAGAGATACATGAGATTTTGGAAGTGCCACTTAGGACTGGAAAAAAGGCTCAGGCAACTGTCAAAACGAGCCGAAAATGAGTCATGCCGAAGTTTATTTTAGATACGACATGTACTAAGATGTTCTAAGTAGACGTGAGCTTGTTAAGCCTCCAGCTGCGCGGCAGCTCATCTTGCATCGTTCTCAAGGCGGCATGCACACCAGGTGCATGTTTTGTTCGCGGATGGGGCGAGTGATGTTGCTAGCGTACGAAGTCATACCCCAAATGTGTACGCTCGAGGATATGGGAGATGATTTGGACTCCAACCAAAAGTTCTGAAGAAACCCGATGTTTCGGAACCGACTTGACGTCACAAGCCTGACGTCCCCCTCCGACCGATTGTAGACTTCACTTCCTCACCATGCCAAGCCCTTTCAAATTTTCTACACCAAATCTTCTCCCCCGCTAACCCGGAAGACACCAACTCATGTCCGTGACGCCAGCCACTTCGTGCAGCTAGCGTCAAATGTGAGCATCGGCGATGACGAGAGCATGATCTCATTTGACGTCATTTCATTGTTCACCAACGTGCCAGTTCCCTTAGCTGTCTCCGCTGCCCGTGCTGCACTTGAGGACGACGCAAGCCTGAGTGAAAGGACTCCTTTGGCGGTTGACGAGCTCTGTCGTCTACTGGAGTTCTGCCTCTCCAGTACGTATTTCTCCTACAAAGGAACTATTTTCAGGCAGAACAGTGGAACCGCTATGGGAGCTTCCATCTCTGTCACGATGGCAAACCTGACCATAGAGTACATAGAAGAGAAAGCACTCAGCTCCTTCTCGCCGTGACCCAAGCTTTTTCTGCGTTATATGGACGATTGCTTTTGCGTCATTAAGATGGCTGAAGTTGAAAACTTCAGACAACACCTAAATTCTGTGCACCCAGCCATACAATTCACGACCGAGTGTGAAAGCGACCACTGCCTGCCCTTTCTCGACGTCCAGGTGGCAAGAAAGCGTGACGGCCTGGAGTTCTCAGTTCATAGGAACCCAACGCACACTGGCCGCTACCTTCGATTCTTCCACCCCGCCTGCCACAAGGCCTCGGTTGTTACCATGCTACTCGAGAGAGCTAGGAACTTATGCTGTTATGACACCGAGCGAAAGAAAGAGGAGGCCCGCGTATTTGCTGACCTCAGAAAAAACGGATACCCAAAAAAACTTCATTCGAGCCACCACCCGCCGCGCAAAGCAACAGAGGATACGAAAACACCAATCAACCTCAATTGGCAGCCCCGCAAAATGCGTACCGGTTCCATACGTTCAGAGAACCAGCGAGATGTTAGCGCGGATCTTCAGGAAGGAAGGGGTTCGCATCGCGCATGTGCCTTCGTGTATGCTGGGCCGCCTCCTCCCTCGCCCGGAAGACCGGCCAACAATGGACAGGCACCTTGGTGTCGTTTACAAAATTCCGTGTGCCGAGTGCCCTCATCGTATATCGGCGAGACGAAAAGCCTACCGGAACGACTGAAGCAACACGCCAACGATGTGCGGAAGTTCTACAAAGAGCGCAGCGCAGTCGCCAAATGTGCTGAGACGTTGGATCACAAAATAAATTTTGAAGCGACGACCATCCTTGAAAGCGAGCCGAACTGAAGGAGAAGGTTGTTACTTGAGTCGTGGCACATACAGAGAACAGCCCATAATATCGACCGCTCCCTCGGAACCCTTCCCTCAGTGTATTCACACGGACTGCGCTCCACGGCAAAAAGAGAGAGGGGGGGGGGGGGTCATGAGCCACCCCGCGAGTGCTTTGAAGACGACGCTGCTACGTAGCCTCCGCAGTCACCCCTGAGGAAGGAATCAAGTCGGTTCCGAAACGTCGGGTTTCTTCAAAACTTTTAATTGGAGTCCGAATCATCTCCCAGTTTCATACCCAACCAGACAGACTTCTGTCGAATGTTTACTTTCAAGCACGAGGATATTATTTCAGCTTTTCAGCGAACTTAGTCACATATTTCCAAGTGGACAATGCAGAAAAAAAAAAAACAATGTGCATGTGGCGCATTGTTTCGTTTGCTGCCACGATGGTAGTGTTTGTTTACGTTTGTGAAGCTGGCACCAGCGTTTGATTTTGCAATGTTCGGGCAGCTTCAGGTTGTCTCGGGTTCCCCACACGACGACGCTGTTTTCTGTCACCGGAGTTAGGTGGCCGATCCTTTGGCTAGCTCTGGCCACCAGAGAGCTCTGAAAATCGAAGATACCCATTGTTGTATACCACAGCAATACTCGATTACAAACCTGCCTTGGCACCGTGTTGTGCCCGAGTTTTTTTGCTACGAGTTGGGCATTTTGTGCTGCCTTGATTTCAGGGTGACGAATTCATGGAGTATTTGCGCAACCAGTACCTTCCAACCCTGCTCAGGCTGTCGCCACAGCAGATCCAAGATTACTGCATGCACCTGCAGGGTGATCCCAAGATGTTCAAGAACTACGTTAAGGTCAGTAGTGTGCTTATTTGTTAATGCATGGGTTGTTATCTGGAATTTATAGTTCATGCATTTTCTGGCTACCCATCTTTGTGAATTGCTTTATCCCCCCGATATTGTACATCTTCATTACTCTACTCTGCATTGATGCCACCTTAAATTGCTTTCTCAATTGTGTGGATGTTTACTTTTCAGTGTCTCCCTTCACTGAAACTAAGGAAATGGTGCATTGTTCATGACGTATTGAATATAAGTGCATCATAAATGCTGCACACATTGTTATGGTATATTATAACTATGATGTATATTAGAACTATCATCTTGCTTGTTGTACAAGTGCTGTACTCTCATGATTGTACACGGTGGGCTCATCGATCGATGTTGATCCAGATGTATTTTTTGTAATCTACATTATGTGCAATTTATAGGTTTGATTTTTTATGGGGTAGATCTTGCCTTTATTTGTTCGAAATAGAAAAGGTGCTCTTTCAAGATAGTTGTATGAGAGCTTTCGAGTTCTGAACATTTAAAAAGTTGTCAAATGTTCAGTGGACTCTGTACGATAAGGATCACAATATAATGTACTCAATTTTGACACACTCTAGCGTAGTCTTGTTTGTGAATCTGAAACTGGCTTAGTGACAACCTGCCTCCCGGTTAGTTGTGTGCAGCAGTAACATTTTCTGGCAGGAGCATTCACTTGACTTCTGTTTTTATTGCAGGCATTCTTCCAAAGGCTGAGGACATCTTGACAGTCGGGGAAAGGCTTTTTTCAATCTTAGCAATGTGACGAATCTGGTTTCTTATTCTGCAGATTGTGTACAGCAATTATTAAGGGCGTATATTGTATATTGCACTCGATCTTGGGTTTTTCTATGCATGAACTTTAGATGTGAATGCTTCCTATGGAATATTTTGTACAGGTCGTGACGAAGCTAAGCAAAATAAATGACGACGCAAAGGAGCTTGCCAAGCAAGCTCTACGTAGCATGACGTACAGATGTGTTTATCTTTTGTTTTAATTAGCAAATAAACTTTTGGTATTGATTATTTGCTCATAAAACTCGCATACGCCACAAGTATTAATCGAGGAAAAATGGAGAATATATAATTCTCACATGGGCACAAACCAGGCTATAAAAAAAAATGCGAGAGAATACTTCTACAATGCATGTCATTCCAGCATAGTGTATTTTGATAAAACATGTCATGGCATGAAGTTTCATCACTGCGCTTTAGCAGTGACCACAGTGAATGTTAAAACAGCCATGCAACTTTGCTGGCCTTAAAAGTCGTTCATATTGTCAGGTTGGCTGCTGCCATTGTTCGATTATTTTGGCGAACACAGTGATTAAGCAGCCTATGTTACAGTTAAGCAGCTTGTATGTCGCAGCATCGAGCCAATTACATCACATAGCAGCATGAAAACTGTCGTGCGACAGTGCCCCGTTGACATGCTGTAATGATTAAGGTTGATTTAGCTTCGTTTTTCTGATGTAATGGCTGGGAGTGTGAACGTTGCCACACAACTGACGAGGCTGCTTGGAGGTTTCGAGCACTTTATGAGCACAATAAACACACACACACATGATAAACCATACAAACACCAAGAAAGCACGTGCTAGCCAATCAGCGTCCCAACCCTCGCACAAAAGTCATGTGCTATGAGTTCACGCAGGCTCACCGACGACATTGAGAGTGGCGTGATGCTCAGGCATGGCGACAAGATGAGGTGCTGAGCAGGAAGCGGGCAGCTTCCGGAAGGTGGTCACAGGTCTCTGGGAAATTGCAAAGGAACTTGGCGCATGCAATCTTGAAGCGCAGGAGGATGAGGTAGTTGGTGGCCACGTGACGCCCATAGCCTCACTCGTGGACTGCAACGTTAAATAAAGTACGACACTTGGGTCCGGCCACCCGACTGCCTCGAATCACTCACATAGTCTGCCCCTTCCTTCTCCTGCATGTTAGTCCTCATGTCTCCATTCTTCCGCTTCCTCGTCTTCTTTCATCGCCGAACACACACACTCACTTTCTCGATGGCGTGCATATCACACAGGCCCTCACTCGAGTATTTAGTTCATTCAGCAGTATGAGCAAAACGCGAAACATGTGCATCACATTAGGGCACCATGCACTCCACACTCTTAACGACATGACTTTCCCCTCTGCATTTGGATACGGCTCATATAGCCTGCGCCAACATTTTCATTACCCTTAATATATTGAACGTTAAACGTTAGGCCTGTGCGCACAGTGAGTTTTAGTTTCGAAACGAATTTCAAGCAAATAGTAACTTTAACCCAATAATTTCAAATCGAATTCAAATAGTATATACCACTTATTAGCATGAAAAATGGGCATATTTGTCTTGATTACCGAATAACCTACACAGTATTTTGTTTTCAATTGATACATGGTCTGTGCAAATGCCATTCTTTTTGGTTCAGAAAAGCAAAAACAACTTAAAACAGTAATTAGCTATGACTTTCGATAGTATGCAAGTGATAACCTGTAAGCTATGTTACGTTTTCAAGTCCACCATACTTGGAGCAAATAAGCTGGCATAACAAGCTTCTAAACTAATTATGAATGAATTAGTATGAGGGTACTATGTTCATTTAACCTTGCAGTGACGCTTCGCAGCAGTGCAAATTTTCTTTTGAATAGGTGGTTTCACGGCTCAGCACTCCTTCACAGTAGTAAAACCGCCTTTACAAAACATGTGCGAGCAACTATACATTTAAAAAGGTGCTTTCACGGCTTAGCACTCTTTCACTGCAGTGAAACCACCTGTGCAGAAGGCATACGTATATGCGGCCTAATGACACTTATTTGTTCACTTCAATTACTTCGAAATTTTCAACAATCTAAATTCGAGTCGAAGCAAATTTGAATACAGCCTAGTAAACATGTATTCTTGCAGTGATAAGCTCCATGTGAGCACTCGAGAATTCACACACAGTCGAACCCACTTGTAACGATCTATCGGTTATGTTTTGATGTACTTGCGATTTTCGTATGCTACCCTTTGAAACTGAGTTCATATACAGCCAAAATTTTTCGAGCCCTCTTACCTTTACAACGAACACTTCCGACGCAGTCCCCATAGAAATATGTCGCGTACCAAGCGGAAAAAAAAAATGTTACAACAGACGCCCTAAAGCATGTGATAGTAGCGCGCTCACGCGTGCCCCGCTACACTTGTGACAAAAATATCAACCAATGCCTTCGAACGCAAGAAGCCATTAATGTGTGCAAGAAGCCATAAATACAATAGGTAATAACTTTTTATCGCATAAAAGTTCACTGGGACATCCGCCCACCGGACTGCCTCAAATCACATACACCTTCTACCCCTTCCTTTTCTTCTTTCGCATGCCAGTCCTTTGTTCCTGTATGCCTCAGTGTCCTCGTCTTCTTTCATCGTGCGCATACCACACACACTAAAGCTCACTCCTGGCAAACTGACCAAGAAGTGAGAGCATCTTTATGCTAGTTGTTTCGGGTATTCAACTAGACCGCTTCTCCATTTTTGTTACTCTCAACCAGTCGGACATGGTACAAAAACACGCATTTATGAACGCTCTATTCTTTTGGTGGCCTCAGCGAACGTGAATTGTTTTAGGAAGCCCTTAGAAACTGTATGCAAACCAGCACAAATTACTTGCAAAGCCACATTGTGTATCTACTGTTGTGCTACAAACAATATCCAATGTAAATGCACAAAAGCTCTTCAGCATTCTGTCAAAAATAGAACAAAGCTGAAACATCTGTTTCAATAGTGTAGGTGATCTGAAACTTCATTCTAGAAATTCTGTAGATCTACAATGAAAAATGTGGAGGTGCTTTGTCTGACAATTTTGGGTACGCTAAAGTTAGTGCTACAATCAGTTCACTTTGAGTAACTGCAACATCTGTTGCTGAGAATGTGGCTGTTAAGAAAAAAGTCATGTGCAGTTCTAATAGCACTTGCACATGAATTCTTTCAGTGCAAGCGAGCAGACGAGTTGAGACGACAGGAGACTTGCACATCGTCTCACTGTCTCGAGTTTTGCGTTTTGTTTATATGCATGTGCTTCTACAGCAGCTTCATGAACCCAAAAACTATTGTTGCAGAGATTATCATGTGCCATGTTTGGGGTGGTGGTTCACGAACAGCATGAATTGGGAGCTTCCAGTATCTCATTGCCTGTGTTTTATTGCGGCATTAAAATTTTGATTGCAGGGCATGGAGTTGGATTATCCTTTAATCCCAAGTTTCTTGGGTACTTTTTTTTAACTGTTCAAAGTTTGTGATGTTATGGAAATACAAGTAACATAACTCATAAGCTTTTCAGGAAGAGAAATTTCCAAATGTCTTGCAGTTCTTGCGCACGGTGCGGTTCTCCTAAATGGGCATTGATGTTTTTTGCTGATTTTTGGCAGTTGCCAATTTTTCGTTTCACACAGTAAACCACAGTAAACTGGTTGGTCGTGCCTATCCTACGCTCTTGATGCTCGATTCATTGTTTCACTGTTGGTGCTAGTTTCATAACCAGTTGTCTATTTTAAGTAAAACACAGTGGTTGCACAGAGTAATGACCTGTATTAAAGATTACCAGATGAAAATATCACAAAAGTTGTGGTCACAGTGTGGGTTTAGTTGAGCCAGATCATGTGGTATCAACTGGACAGTATGCAGAGCGTTCTCAGAAGCAGTAAACTTGGCCCACGATATAATTCCTTTTACATAGTTGGAAGCAGTGGTGGCAAAGGGCAATCAATGGCCGACACCTTGCCCACACACTTGAGACGGTGCTGCAAAATGGCAAGCTCCATAATCTTGCAACAATGCAGTCGTTGTTATAAGGAACCTGAGACTCTTATGTAAGAATAAATCTCGGCGAAATAGCATGATTACGTCTACCTGGAGCCAAGTCTCCATTTATTCGACAGTTTAATAACACCACAGAAGCCATGGCATTCTGATGATCAGAAATTGTATACACCACCTCGTCGAGCCAGCTGCATTCCAAGGGAGGTACAACTTGTGGGAGTTAGCAGAGATTTCATTGTGGCATCCCCGTTAATTCAGCATTTAATATGTTGAAGTGCCCTAACGGGTACTTTAACTCAAATGCCCACAAACAGTTAAAAGTCCATACATCCAAGATACAATTATAAGTACAATAGACTTGGTAAACTGAAATCTCCTAAACGGAATTTCTGCTTAAACGGATCAGCTGCGTTTAATAAGATTGGCTTCATACCTGAATACTGTAACACGCAATCCTGTTTATCTCTCATTGAACGGAACATATTTTGCCGGTCCCTTAATATTTTGCCCTTCAAGGACATAATACAGTAGACTCTCTATGGCCTCAGAGATGAGACAGGAGAGAAAGAATACTTTATTGGACGAGGTTGTATGTTCAAAGGTTCGAGCTGTAGAAAGCTGAGAGTAACTTCTAGCATATGGGTGCTTGGAAAGGTACTGCAAGCGACGCACGCCAACATCTTTCAGCCAAATTCTGGAATTGCTAGCCCATATTTGCATAAAAACTGTCCTCATGGCTGACTGCCAAGAAGACCTTGCAGTTTGGATAAGCCGTCAGTGAGGTTTTGTGACAAGCCTTTCAATAATACAAGTGATTTTCAACTTGACACAGCCGAATCTCCAAATTCCCAGAAAGCAGAGGATGCCACTAATTTGGCTTCTTGTATTTCAATAATGTGCTTCTCAGCTATTCCGCAGATTGTTGTAAGGCTTTCTCACTGTCACTTCAAAAGGCATTGGCGTAAACATTTATCTCGTGCAGCTTGTGATCAAAAAGGATTTAGTTTTAGGTTGTTAGTATGTGTTACCTTTTACAGAATACTGCAAACTTGGTCGCACTGATGACAGTGATTCATCGTGGCGATTTGTGTCATCACATAAACAGTGCAAACATCTTTATTGCATAGGCGTTGTAAAACAAATGAAATATACATTTAAAAAAGTTTAACAAAATTAAATTTTGTAGTTTTATGATGCACATCATAGTAGGAGACCAGATTCGTTTTGAACAACTGTGGTCCCTTTTTTTTTTGTAATGTGCACTGAAGTCAATGCAAGGGTGTCGTAGCATTTCGCACTTATCCAAATGCAGCTGCCATGGCTAGGGTCAAGATCGACCTCTTCAATCTCAGCAGCACAACTTTGTTGCTGTGCTGCAACAACGGTTTAAAACCTTGAGCCACAATTTGGTGTACCAGTATTACAACTACTACCCAAGTCTTTGGTAAGCTAATTTCTGCAAAATGTAGTATATGTATAAAACAAAAGTCATAATTTTGACAAAAGGGTGAAGCAATGAATGCGATAGCAACATATTCGAATGTTTTATGAAGCACGGCTATCATTTTTGGTGGCAATATTGTAGTAAACATGTGCTTGCTAAGTAACCAAGTTTCCTGGGGCACAGTCAGATGATCACAACAAGGTTCGTGCGTAGTGATGGCATTGACGAGAAGTGCTTCCCGTGGGCAGTGCATGCGGCTACTAAGGGCTTATACGTCGTGTGTCGCTGCTGCTGGCAGTTTGTTGCATGTAGAGCGCATCTATATGCAGATGGCTGCTCCAGGTACATTTTTGGCACAGTTTTTTTTTTGTGTGTGTATGGAGAGTGCAGCCCGTAGAAGCTCCCGCCTGCTGTGGGAGCAACAGGCGCGCGCTGATCGTTGCCGCGATTGCTCAGCAATCATAAGCTCCTCCCCCCTTGTTTGCTCACGAGATAAGCGCACGTGCAGACGACCCTGGTTGGAAAGGTGATGGTCTCTCCGCATAAAGAGGATAGTGCATTTTTCCTGTAAACGACTGCGGTGGCAAAAACTAGCCGAAACTGTCTATATAAGTGATATCGCAATAAAAACAAACACGGTGCATTTAGAGACTTCAGTTCAAGTGTTCCAAACTAGCTGAATTACGGTTTTGACTTTCACTCACCGCTTGTTAACTACGAGCGCTGCAAATTCTCAATAGCTCTCACATAAGCATTTACTGCACTACCCCAAGTTTTAGTTAGTCTCATCTGTACATTTTGATGCATTAAAGTCTTGTGACGAGACATGCCTGGGAATTGGCCAGACTGATGCTAGCAGAGCTGCATTTGTCTTAAGCAGGTGCACTTTCCCATTGCGATGATGCATCTTGGTCATGGCTGCAATGTGAAAAGAAATGACATCACACAAGGAAACATTTGTGGCAAGAATATTACAGCATTCTTCCTCTTGTGCAGTCATGTCTAACGTTTAACGTATGACATTCACTAAATGCTCATTTGCTCAGTGGCACTGCTCATGGAGGCAGACGGAGCACACCCAAAGTTGTCTGAATATTATAAAAGCAAATCATTTATGCAACTGACAGAAGGTGAGTATGTAATGTGTAAATGAAGTGTTCTTGGTAATGGCGTGCAAAGTTAAAAACTCCAGCCAGTGACAAGAGATTGACACTTTTAATAGTTTACACATCCTCAACTTGCCTCATGGCCTTGAGGAGAATCGCCGCACTTTCTTTATAGCGTTCTTCATTGGCCATAGCGGCATCTTTCCACCTGGCAGGAAAAAAATAAGGGAACATCGTAAGCAATTGGCATACAGCAAACATTTCTCATAAGTACAATGAGTTCAAAAGCAATTTATGAAGCACATAATCATTGATCGACGAGTAGAAAGCATCCAGATATTCGAACTTGAACGTTATGCAAATAACTGTCACACTTCGACACGATTACAAATCATATTTCAAGGACTTAAATGGACATTATATACTCAATGCAAACTCAAAATCTGACATACAACTGCATTCACTTGTGCTGACAGATAAAAGATCTCGTCAATTTGTAGTTGGAACTAGCAGCAGACACACTTTGATTGGTGCTGCACTCACCAAGCTTAAAAAATTGCCAACATGTCCTCAAATTCAGGTTAACTATTTTGGACTTTGGTGTTACCACAGAACTTAAGCAGAGAAGCTTGATAAGAACAGTCTCAACACTTACTTTTGCCGCACATTCTTCCAACGTGTTTGATGGCCAGCCAGTAAGACGTGCACAGGTACAACCTCGCTATCGTCCTGAAATTATGACCAGCATGTTCTTAGGTGGGAGATTCTCTTTTACTACTGTATCCTTGCTGAAATAAATTACACACAGCATACAAGCAAGAAGAGGTCCTCTGGGTTCACATAGGTGTAAAAACTGCCACTAACTAACCAAAGCTGGAGAATATTTCTCTTGGCTGTGACAAATGTTTTTCATAATTATAGAGCATCTCTAGCACTTGATGATCAAATACAGAGTGATTTATAAATGGACCTTTGCAAGAGTATGTGGATGTGATGGGTAAATACAGGTACATGCCAACACGATTTATAGATGCCTTTCCTTTTTGATAACTAGCGGTGAATATAGTCTCACTGCACTTCTTGAATCGAATCACCGATAGCACACACACCCACTGGACTTGCACTGCTAGCTTGTTTTCTCTATACACCAGCATGTATGAAACTGGCTTTTTAAATTACAAGGTTAAAAAGGTCACAATAATTGAGATGGGCTTCCATGAATGCAATCTGGCACATAAGTTCGGCCAATCACAGACAACCTCAAGGCCTCACCGATGCCATAAAGAACTTTTCACTGGGCTGTGGAACGGGTGAAGGTATTCGAAGGTCCTTGATGTTGCCATCCTCGCCTCTGGATGGTGGCACAGGTGCGGGCAGGTACATAATTCCTTTTACATTGTCCTCCTCAGTTGTGTCATTTGCACTCTGCAAGAGAAAACTACTGTTCTACTCCACAAGGAACACTATGTGGAATGTAAGGGCTAGTTGATTTGTCTTGCTGGGTAACCGAGTAGCACAATAACCATGAGCGGACTGCCCAACCTGCTTTAATGGGAGATGCTGTACGCAAGGGAGGGAGAGGCCCGGTAATTTATACCATGCCAGTTTATTCACAAAAAGTAGCGTATGGCAAACGGACAATGACAAATACTACAAAAAGCGTGTGAAGCTATTCTGGCTTCATTTAACAGTCGTGCTAACGTCTTGCAGTTCATAATAAAGATAATCGAGAGCTTTTGTGAGCTGCATAATATCTTCTGATTAGCTAAAATTTACAGCCTTGTGCAGCTCCCTGTACAAGTGCTATTTTTATCCATCATATAGCATAGGCGGCTTGTGTTTGCATTGCTCGCTGTGATTTTTTAGTACGTGCGACATGCTTCTCACTAGTTACAATCTATCGTACTAGCATGCACATGGAGGCCACATCAGACACAGCTGCATGCGTTTGCATGCCACAACTTAAGCAAGTAAATTTTACAGAACTTGCTGACACCAAGCTAGCGCAGCCACAGTTTCAAGCCTAAACCCAGAAATGGACAGCGGGAGTCTCGGACATTGATGGTTTTGTGAAGTCTTGACAAGCTTTCTATTTTCCCCAGGGTTTGCCTGCACTCAGTAAACAGACTGAGTTAATTACAATGGCTAGTTGCTTACAAAGCATGAAATCAACATACTATCGATCATTCTGTTGTAGTGAAGCTGTTGGCACTCTGCCGTTCTCGACGAGAAGCGTTAGCACAAAATGTATAAAATGCATGCAAGACGTGCCTCCTTCTTGACAGTGTCTTCCCCACTGTGGTTCCGCTCCAAATTTTGCAGAGGCTTATTTTGTATCCAGCTACGACACATCGAATACAATGGAGAATTCTCATCAAACTGCGCAAGGTCTACACTGCAGCCGTATATCTTCGTTATGTAGGTGTCTGTAACAAAAAGAAAGGTGTTCATTACGCACATCTTTTTAACACTTGTGAAGCTTCCCCTTAGAAAAACTCGTTTAGAATAACGCAATTTTTTTTTTATTAGGTATCACATTTGCCTTTAAAGACATTAATGCAGGAAGGTGAACTCAAGAGACACTATAACAAACAATCAAGGCCAATGTTTTACACAACATATATAATATCCGGCAGAAAAACATACAAAGTTTCTATCGGCCAACAAAAGGCCGATAAAAACTGGTCATTAAAGGGGTGGTGCCACTATATTTGTGGCTTGCGCGTTCTTTGCCGCAAGCGTTTATAGTAGCTCCAGGAAGCATGATGCACACATTAAGGTTCATGTATTCTCAATAAATCATTTAATAATGTCTTATTTATGTGGACAACTTGCGGTTTCTTGCAAAGTTGGGCAGCGATAGCAGTGTAGGTGGCTTGGTCACGTGACCACAGAAAGCTGTCACGCAAGTTATGCCGAGTATCATATGTTCTGGCACACAGGTGCCACACAAGCACCAGCAAAACAAACGCACCGACACTTGTGTGGCTAGCTGCAGCAGCCACAAGTGATGCAGCAGCCAATGCTTTGCCGCGACGTGCATTGCGGAGACCATGGGTCACTCGCATCACTATAGATCTAGTATGATGTCTCTACAACTTTCGCCATCCTTCCTATAGAGTCAGTGTTGGACGTAGCTTCTGATCGTGCGATGGGTCTCGATCGGGAGAATAAGCATTCAGGAACGCTTTGGAAGTGAATTAAATATTATATACGTTTACTGTGTCCGACCATTCGCGAGGAAGTGTCTTTGCAGACAGGAAACCCACAACAGGCATGTTATGGTCTCGTAATTTCATGGCACCACCTAATTAATGGAAGGCATCACACCCAAAAGGAAGACCATTTTAATCTATGGTCCCTTTTTTTTTTATAATGTCTAGTTTGTGGGCCAATATATCTTCATTTATGCCTGTTTCACAATGGTAAATGTGAAAAAAAAAAAAGACAAGCCTTAGCTATTTCTTGCAGTCTCTTAAACGCTACCAGTAATGTTTACCATTACTTCTTGTTATGCAGATATGCTTATGAAACTTCCTAATTGGATTAAGCTCAGCTATGTGTATTGTGGATCTGTCCATAAAAGTATGCTAACTCAATAGCATACACATCAGGATAAACACATGCATAATCGAGCACTGCATGTAAGCTTACTTAAGTAAAATATAGTTAATTGTAAGAGCTTCCCCAAAATTTAGACATCGAGACCTCAATTTATGTGGCCCCTTACATCTAAATCTAACATGTCTACTCCACTGAAATTAGATAATAAAACATCCAAATATTTGTATTTCTTAACGTTGTGTAGAACATTAGTTTATATCCAGATGATGTATATGAATGTTTGCTTGTAAGGGAGATATTTCAACCTTATTTCAATGAAAATTGTGTCATACAAGGATGTGCTACAGAGTTTTCCACATGTTAACAGCTTCCATCCTTCACTTTTATTGCAACTCATCCTTTATATATAAAAAGAAATCCAAGCTCATTTTCGTGAGCAACACATACTTGAATTCTGCAGAGCTGAGTCATCTTTTCTACGACGTTTCCTCTGGGTCTTCTGAATCTTTTTAGGGGATGCGTCCCTACAACAAATTATGATGCATTGTAATCACAAGTGATCGTCGGACACGAGGCCGACAACGAATGGTAACACACTCACTTATTCGCAGAATCCAATGCTTTAGATTCGTCTTCCGATTGAGATGATGAACTCTGACTGAAATAGAGATTTTGTCACATTCATACTTGTGGAAGGAAAAAAATAATTGGTGACCTTTATATGCTATACCTAGGGGTGGGCATGGGGGGGAGGGGGGGACTGGAGCTTTTTTCTAAAATCTTCGCCTGCTTTCCTCCCCGTCATAGTCCCCCTTCCCCCCAACAGGTAACAGTCGTAACACAATAACCGAGCCAGCCTCCCTGCGCCCCCCCCCCCCCCCCTCCCGGTAAGATGATCCTGGCGTCGCCCTTGGCTAAAGTAAAACCTTGTAAAAGTACCAATTATTCATCTTTATACATAACAACCTAGAGGAGACAGATCAAATGTCGGCTACAGCGACTGGAACTTCACCGTGCTTATATTATGTAATTTCACATTTCCGACAAACTGAATCGGCTTTTTTGATTATTATTAGAAGGCCATCCTGTATTCTACTAGCATAACAGCATCTGAAGTACTTTAAATAGCTCATGAGAAAAAGGGAGGTTGTTAGCCAAAGACCAGTAATTCCGGTGGCACGCTATCTCTTCTGATCGCTATCAAGCCCGATCGGGATCGAATTACTTGCTTGCGATTGGCCGATTTACGCAAGCAGCAAAAGGGAGTCAACCACTGATGAGAGTTCTTGATCCCTGTGGGGCTTAATCGCGATTACCAGTGCACTGCATGATGCGGGTATACACAACGTTGTTACGCAAGGCCCCACATACCAACGCGACAGCAGGGCGCTATGTTTAACTCGTCGTGATTTTTTACCTTTCTTCGGTTTTTTCCATGAGGCTTTGCAGTATGCCATCAAGCTTCGCTCTCGCCTGTTCAAGCTCCGAAGCTGAAAAGGAAGAAATGAGCAGCTTTAGACTTACAAAATACATTGCGGTAGAATGCATTGCCAAGCCCGCACTCCGCCTCGATCGTCAACACAACGCGAAATGCGTAGCTTGCACCAACCTCTTTTTTCCTTGAGTCGCGACATTGTCGTTCAATCGAGCCGCCGGGCCTCTGAAAGAAACAATACCGCAATATTCTCAAGATCGCTCGAAGCCAGCACAGACACAAATGTGCAGGTAGATTGAAAAGGGGTCCTGGCATCGCGTGGTACCTTCTTGTTTCGCAGTTAAGGGGAAACGCGGCCAACCTACCTTCGCGTCCGCCCGGAAAGTTGCTGCCTCAAATGAATGCGCCCAAACGATTCCTCTTACTTCTCGTCATCCAAATACAACGGTAAATATTCGTGATTAGGTGAGACACGAAGTGGCTCTAATTAGTGCTGAACGCCAGATCAAGCGTCGCGCCGCTCACCGTTAATTTTACAAGACAAGATGGCGCCCTTGTAAACAATTGTGACGTAGACAGGAGAGAGTAACGACGTCACGATTCTTTGTCGTTGCGGTCTTCTGCGCATGCCGCGCACAAGTTTCAGTTCTGTATTTGTTGTTTTTCCTCCAAATTTCGAGATACGCGCAGCACAGGGTCTTGAAACCGTGCAAATGTTCTATTGAGCTCAATCGCAAATTCAGTTTAGATAAACTGCGCCATCGCGAGTAAGCCTGGCTTTAACTCTTGTTAACGAAGGATATCACGGGGGGATGGGGGGCTCAAGATAAATTATGAGCTTGAATTAACTTCATTAAGTAAATGAGTTATTCAAATGCCGGAGTGCCTATGTCCAAAAGATTGAGATCGTTATTTAGGCCGTTCGCTTGTGGCCCTACCCGGCCCCAAATTGCTGGAAAGGAGGATCTTGGAACAATTAGTTGGTTTATTGTGCGCTATCGTAGGGAACATAATCGGCACACTCCGTAAAATTCTAGTAGTTGTTGTGACGGACTGCATATAAGTTGACTCATTGTGCGAGCACTGTATCGGGGTGCACTTCGCGCGAGCTGTACGGCAAGACCTACGTCAACGCAGTCATGAAAGTACCGGTGGATTCGCAAAGGTGTTGCTATGGAGTAACGTAGTGCAGTAAATGCCGCACTGCTCGTGTGGAAAAATGCGAAATTATGCAGTGCGGAAAAGCAGTGCTCTTGCGGAATTATGCTTTCGTACCTCTTAGTGGAGCCAAAAGCACACCAGCAATATAGCGGCGTTTTTTTTTTTTACTATTTACATACAGAGATTAAAACACCATACATTGAATTGCACTAGCTCACACTATATTTAGTGCTATGTTTGAAGCAGCACAGTTCGTTTCAGTACTTGTATATAGCAGCACAAGCAGAATTATGAAAGCTTACCCCTTCCCAATACGGGACCTATTTCTATAAATGAGACGTTGGAGAAGCAAATGTGCATTTATGTTCACAATTTTCGGCAGTACACCTCTCGGGTACTTGCCCAATGTTTAAACCAAAAGTGTTCTAATTGATGGTTAAGAGAAATAGGAAGTAAATTTCGCGAGCTTAATGCCCAAAGGTTTATTTTTGGGGGCTGGAACTTCACATCCTGTGGCCAAACGCTTCAGCATGCAAGGCAGATATGCCCTCTTATTGCAAAATTTATAGTTTATAGTTATGGTTCATGCAGCAGGAATTGAGAGCCACAGGCTTCTTGTAAGTTTCACCCCTTAGAAAGTATTATTCACTTGTAATCTAAAATACAAGAATTAAGCTAGAAAGCACATACCTGGAATCCAATGGTTTAAAACATGTGAACACATATTTTTCAGCTGAAATGTGAAATAAAAGGAACCAGACACTTGAGAATCAATGTTTATTTTTGAAAAAGAACAACTGAAGAGGCATATTTTCTGCTTCTTTTTGCAAATGTTTTTTTTATATGTATATGATAATTATAAATAAGCAAGGATGGATTTTAAGCTTTAGTCCAACGGTATGTGCCGTAAAACTTGAAGCCCGCCCTTTTCCAGAGATCGTCCGCCTCCTTGAAGCCTCGGCTGAAATATGAAAAAGACTTGTAAGCGGCAAAAGCAACAGACAATTGGGCCATTGCAGTAAATACTTCAGTAACCGACTCTCTAAAAGAGCCACACATCCAGGAATACCTATAGGGGGCATGCACAGAGCCTTGACCCGCATAGGGCAACACCACTTCCGCGCCATTTTGAAAGTCCGTTCGTACGTGCCTTCCTGTTGCCCATGTTTCGGTGTGCACAAAGAGTTTCGGAGGACTCTAAGCACCCAGGATACTGCGGGGATTTTGAACACAGCGCGTGCAGCAAATTTTATGTGCGTGCACCGAGCACGCAGCCTTTCGAAATGGAGACCCCACCGCTAGCGATCCTCGCGGATGATGTCAGGTGCATACCCCCTATACTGTTCTATAAATCTCATTGTCCACTAATGGTCAAAGAGTGAAGCAACGTACCTGCCATACTCGTAAGGCACTGGTTTGGGCTTCTCCTTATCAATTTGATGCAGGAGGGGTGTGAAAATACGCCACGCCTCGGCCAATTCATCGCTGCGCACAAAGTGCACCTGACTGCCGTAGAACACATCCAGAATGAGACGCTCGTAAGCATCCGGCATGACCATACCCTGCAAGGAAGAATCAACCATGTCATGACCAGCTCAAGGAGGCGTGCAGCAAGGTTGGTGGCACACCACTGCAATTAGCAGCATGCCAGCTAGACTATGATGATGGTATTTATGACTATACAAGTTTTAGTCTTTGTAAATTTATCATCTGGCAGCAAAAAGACCTTGGAAATTATGAAAAGTGATTGCAGTGATCTCACTTGTAGGTGCAGTCTAATTTATAGACTTGTAGACACAAGGCATTATTGTGCACAAGGGGCAGCATTACATGACTAGCTTTTAGCAATAATTTCACTTTTACAAAAATTAGCACCCAATGGGTCAGCATCTACTTATGACTTTCGTAGCCCTCCGTCCTAGCACAACTGTAGCAGCCGTGGCCTGTACATGACTAAGCACGGCCAGCCCTATTCTTTTGACATTTCATGCAAGCTTTGCCTAAATTCATTTTTTCCGGATTACGGTCCCAGGTCACTACACTTCAAGTGTTGGCATTTTAACCTTATTTCATCACAAAAGTGCAGATAGCACATTTTGCCCATTTACAGCAGCCTCATTAAACTGAACCTGAAGGGACCAGAGAAATACGTCTAAAAGGAGTTCTATTTAACGAGAAAGTATAGAATCAGTCATATTATATGCAGTTGTACCATTTACTAAGAATCTACTGTATTTTTTGTGCTACACGAGAGATCTAGCACATCTTTAGTCATAATGCACACCACGACATGCTTACGTTGTTGAAATTTGCAAGGAGTCGAAATCAACTTGAACCTTTCAGTACATTTGGTTCCCCACTACATTATCCCCCACTACATTATCAATATTGAATGTCTTTATCCTTTCGTGTGCAGCCCTCTGTTTTAACTGCACAAAGCCAAGCATGAAAAAGAAAACTAGCAGAAACCTTGTAGCGACTGCCATAGGTGAGATCCAGCTCGGTCTCCTCAATGTCGAAGGCCATTCCAGGTTTCTTGGTCATGAACTTGACGTAGATGGCCTCATCAGGCTGCACCCTCAATACCAATTCGTTGCGCTTGCTCTCCCCGGCAAAGAGGTCGCCAGCAACTTCCTTGTACTGGATTCGCACTTCTGCCTTACGCTCATTCAGTGCTGCACAGTAAAAAATGTAAAGCGAGGACAACAAGAGTTACAGACCAGAGATCAGCAACTAAAGCTAGTATAATGTGCCAGCAAATTGTTGTCCTGAGAGTGTAAGCCTGCTGCTCCCGAAGAAATTGCATGAAAACATAATACAAACATTTAATGGAGCCAATGGGTACCTTGTTTCCCCAATATAGTAGTTGCTGTTCTGTAGTAACTGCAGTATCTTTGGTTACATCTTCAGGATTTAGAGATCAGTCTCGTTTTCGCGCCATATACTATATCTGTGGATATTTACGGACATTTCGTGGAAGTGATTACCTATATGCCAGAACAAACGCTGGCATTTGCAACTGGGCATGTGCTGATCTGCAAGACAAAGAGCATAAAGCTTTAAATCAATTTCTGTATGCACATACTTCTCTTGCCTATCCAGTACTCGTAAATGCTTTGCGCTTTGCAAGCACAACAAGTGCCTTTGTTCACGCAGTGCAGATGGTCAACAGCTGCAGGCTACAAAGTTACACTCGCATCATGCACTGTTAGTGCTACCCAACTTAAATTTGTTTTGCGTCATTTAAAAGGCAATGTGTTAATAGGCTAGTTGGTGCGCCACGACATTGATGAAGCAGCACACAAAAGACAATCGCAGACAAACATAAAAATGACGTGATCACAAGTTCTTGAGCATGCACCATCTTTATGTGTGCAGAATTGTGTCTTTTGTGTGCTGCTTCATTGAACAAGGCAAGAAAAAAAATGTGCCTAGCGAAAAGTAGTTAATGCATAAAGATGGCAATGCCCGACATCAATACACATGCACTGTCCATGACAAACGCCTACACACCTTTGCCACATCGAAGGATGAAGGGCACTCCTTCCCAGCGCTCGTTGTTGATGTAGGCTACTGCTGTGGCATAAGTGGCCGTGTGGGAGCCCTTTGGCACAGTGGGGTCATCCAGGTAGCCCTGGGTCTCTTCTCCAGTGCCGCCTGGTTTACCCACGTACTGGCCCAATACCACGTTGTCCATGGTGATCGGGGGAACGCACTTGAGCACTTTTACCTGCACAGTGTCCCCAATCGCATGCTGCTCGACGCTTGTATCACTAGACGCAAGTGGACTGAAGTTTAACGCCTGCACAGTGCTAACAAATGCACATAGTTTTCTCACAGTGCTTCAACCCCAAAAAGCTTCTTTATTTCCCATGCGTGGTACCGCACATTCTTTTACAAGACAGCTTATCAGTGTTTCAGAAAAGTGCACAAAGCACACTAAGGTTGCTAAAGAGATCATCATACACAGCAATTTTTTTGTGTGTACATGTTCTCATAGATTTAAAATTTCTTGTAATAGCCAGAATCACATTCTCAGTGCTTCAGACAACTGCTTAAGTACTACTTTACCTCAAAAGCTTCGCAATCTGGCACAAAGAGCAACTCACTACATCCCTGTGATCATAACATATCTTCCCTGTACAACTTGCCTCTGCATATAATTCGTATGCCTGGACAATGTAGAACAAGAAGCAAAGGAGAAGCACTCGTGCAGCAGAAATCTCGCTTCTCTTTAAGGAATGTCAACACAAGTGACAAACGCAACAAGATCGCAGCATGTAACGCTTCATTTTTACTGTAGAAGGAAATCAGGCGCCGTCTTCCTGCTCTGAAGCATGGTGCAGGAAGCAGGAAACAGTGAGCCATCCTGTAGCCGATTATCAGCATGCACGCACACAGACAGTTGCATGAAGCGCAAGCAACCGAGACTGCTAACCTTCTCATTCCTGATGTCCTCTGCATTTGTAGACACTGGCCTCTCCATGGCGACGAGGGACATAATTTGCAGCAGGTGGTTCTGCATAACGTCCCTTTAGCAAAGACAAAAGTAATCAATTACAAGGTGGCGACTCAGTTTTCCCATAACAGCAAACATATGCGCCGTTTTCTGTACTTCATTGAGCAAACACTACACGGAAGCTTATTTACGTCAGTAGAAACGACAAAGAAGACCTTAAACCACTCCAAACAAAAGTGAACGGCAATGCAACTATCAAACGTATGTGTTGGTTGCTTTTCAGAGAACCGTTTGAGCATGTGCCCAATCACGTTACATACTAGCTTCGGAAAGTGCTTGGTTGCAGTTCTCGTATACGGCACGACAGCTGCAGTAAAAAAGATGTAAGCAGACATCTGTTTTAGGGCAAATGAAGTATACAGTTTGAGCGAGCGAGTTCTTTTCTATATACGAGACAAAGGCATTAAGCAAGCCCACAAGAGCCAACAGTAATGTCGCCAAGGCTTTCACGTGAACCACGTGTAGAATAAATGCTTACCATTAGTTAGTAAAAATAAAAGCCACATGTGCGTGTAAATAGGTTCACCTCAATCCCAGGATGTAGGTCACACAAGCATTTCAATGGGACAATCGCACCTACTTTTGAGGCAACTATTTCGCTCACTGTGAATAACCAGTGCTACTGCAATTTCAGTTATAACACCAGGTAAGATACAATTTTTTGATGCCAAACTATAGTGCCCACCTGATAATACCAAAGTTGTCAAAGTAACCACCTCGGCCTTGCGTTCCAAATGGCTCTTTGAATGATATGACAATACTGGCAATGTTGTTTCTGTTCCACGTAGGACCGAAGATCTGGTTGGCAAACCTGAGGAGGGACAGAAAGAAATGACGAAAAAAAGATTGTGAGTAGGCTGCTCACCACTATCCGTCACTTATTCATAAAAAAGCCAGTCACAAACATCACTGGTCGCTAACGCAGAATCGCCAGTACCAGTCAAGTGAACCGGTGTCTGCAAATACAGTGTGACACCTTTTTGAAAGGCCGAATCTTTGGTCACACTAAACTATGGCCTTAACTATTAAATATAACATACTTCATGAGCTTTCAGTCTTTTGATAATACACGTAGAAGTGCATGCCCCGCATTGCCAATGAAAGCAATGAAAACTGATAAAAGATGTATTCCCTTTTTCTTTCCTTCAAAATCAAGCAATAGTTTTCATTTTAGATTACATCTCACAACTAAAAGTAGTACACACAAAATTGGTAAAGCTTACTACACGTGACAAGTTGCTTTCAACCCAATCTCACCTCTTCTCACCTCTACATTTCTATCTCAAAAAAAGCCAATTTTATTCAATGCTTTTCTTGTCTTCCCTGTCCGTTAACTTAATCTATATACTACTTAAAAAGATGTGAAGCCCTTCTGACCCTCTTACTATTCTTGCTAAATCCAACAACGTTTGTTTCCGAATAATACAGAAATACTTAAATTAGGATAATCTCAAAATGTATATTCATTTTTCTATGTATAAATTTGAGAGTATAAAAGAATAAGCACAACAAATGTAACATTAAGATTTGCTCGTTAAATGCCAAATGCAGAGCTCATAATGCTGGATAATCTAGGGCATGCAACATTTTATCGGGGAATATTTCAGCAAAGATGATGCGGCAGAGCACAGTCTTACAGCTGTTTACCTAATTGCCATGAGATTCTGGACCATCTCCTTGCCAAGATAGTGGTCGATGCGGTATATCTGAGACTCTTCAAATAGCGCGGCCAGGTGGTTGGAAAGTTCAGCCGATGATTGCGAGTCCCGGCCAAATGGCTTCTCAATCACAACACGGGTCCAGCCCCTGCAATATCAAAGCCAACTCAACCAAACAAGCAGAAAACACAAGTCGCTATTCCAGCATCGGCAGTAATAACAGGTCAATTGAATCGAGAGATTGACAATGCTCCAAAGTAATACTGAGGGCAAATAGAGGAATCTTTTTCTGCAGGGGTTGTCTTTTGCTTGTTATTCTTTAAAATCTAAAGAAAAACAGAAAAACTACTTTTAACATTTACATTCTCGTAACTGTACAATGAAAAGCAATATCAGAATTTTGAAAATTGTACCATATAACACACTGAAAATATGCAATTTGTATTACTATGAACATCTCCCAAATACACTAATATGGTATGATATTTGTGAAACCTCAATTTCGTAAAAAAAAAAAAATCTGGCCCAAAGCTCGTTGTTGCTTAAATGATGAAACTTCCCCTTTTTTTTATTTAATGCAAAATATTTCATTCAAGTCTGTGAATTTGTTGCATAAGAGTACTAATGCATACTTATAAATAGCACTTGAATTTAACCTTCCTCTCAAGCTCAGGCAGAATTGAACCATCACTGTATCCACTTACTGCTTGCTCATGCAATGCTGCTTGATGTTGCTGGCAACTTGCTGGAAAACTGTTGGTGGCAGGGCCATGTAAAACATTCGGTTACCACCGGAATTGCCTTCAAGTTTTTCCATCGCCTTGTTGAGAACTACAAAGTCACCGCTCTCATCGTACTTGCCCGACAAGTACGAGTTGGCACGGGTGAACTCGGCAAACCTGCTCTTTTCTTCGTCCTTCACCTGAGGCAGAAAACGATTTCAAAGGGAGGTTATTCCCCCAGCAACTCTAAATACTTAAGTACTGCCAAGTTATACTCATTTGATGCCTACTTTCTTATTTATTTTCCAGGAGATTGTTGCAGTGTTAGTCAGTACAAAACTGTAATGTAAAGCAATGTTGCAGAGAAGCATTGAGCTCTACAGTAACACCACAGTAATAAGTTCCGAGCTATCGTAATTTATTTAGGACATCAGCGGTTGAGCAAATCGGTAAAGACTGAAAACTCGTAAGCAAGGGCAAGGATGTGAAAGACACACACATTAAATGTGGCAAGACAACACTCATTGAGGTGCATTTTAGTTTTTAAGAGCCATCATGTGTTTTTGTAGCTTTCCTTTAAGTTTTACTCTTTGCAAACTACCAGTAATGCACACACAACTTCTCAAATCCAACAAGAATGTTACTTCGTACACCTTTATGCGACACTAAAACGAAAAAACTTACTTTTAGAAAAGGAACAATCTTCGCCCACAGCTCCTCCAAGGTCATCTTGGTGCGAGCATAACCAACGAACTTTGTTTTCTGTGGTAATAAACCGTCTCGGAACAGTGCCCTGTAATTTAACGGAGAAACAGCATCGCCAATTAGGAACGTTTACACGTTAGTTGTTTTGATGCAGGAGTGTGTACCTAATCTCCATATAACAACGCGCAAGCGTATATGTCGAGATTAAGAAAAAAAAACTAGTCATTACCACGCCTAACATGCATGCAATACTCATTTCCCTTCGTTTCTTCTTATGCAGCTAGGTTTAGCCGTTATCTTTACTTGTAGTACAGTCATTCGTATATTATAGATCTTACAGCAGGATAGCGTGCCTGCCAACATATGCCCCTGCGGCACGTGAAACGCTGTTTTGGAACTCGAAAACCAAGTTACCAACGACAATAACAAATTACTGCGGAATTTACATTTAACGGCTATATATAATTTATTTGTCGTCCACTATGCTTCGAAAGGGAATGGTATATCCAGAATGGCTTCCAAGCGCTTACCATAACGTTGGGTAAATTTTTTTCTTTGCCAAGTCCCCCTAGAAAGAGAAGAAAAAGTGGATGAGGAACAGAGGCGCGCGATGCACACGATTGTGCGCCAGTCGAGCGTCACACCACATCGAGGAGGAAAACACAAGGAAAGTGTAGCTACTCAATTCTGGCGTGCACCTACACGGAGGAAAAAACAAACAAACGATGAGCTTCAGCAGGCAACGGGGAGGTGTGCTACCGCGTGCAGCCAGAAGTGCGTCCGCGCACCACACCGCCATGCAGGCACACCGAACACTGCAGTACATGCATCGCCTCGAAAACCTACGAGCTCGTCGTCTACGACCACACAAATCACTAGTCCGTCGTTCGAAGGGTGACCGTTGATCTCGTCGCCGGCACTGTCGGCCGGAGCGGGAGCAACGGCAACGTCTCTCCGAATTACTCCCATTGCCCAGTCGAAAAATATCCGCTCCCACGTGGGGGGCCCCTTGTTTTTAACGAGCCAAGCTCGGGTCCGTCGCTAAGCGCTGGTCGGTAAACATTGGGAGGAGAAGTGCAAAACCAAAACCAAGCCAATGGGAGGAGCGGGAAGCGCGTCCACTCACCGAAGCGCCGAGCACGACGAAGATGTGTTGTTGTCCCTCCTGCACGGGCTCCTCGAACAGGTGTATCGATTCCTTCAGGAGAGCGATGCACTGAGGAGAGAGAGAAGGCGGGAACGATGTTTGAGGCATCTCGGTGGCAGCGGCAACGGAGGCGCAAGGCTTAAGCGAGCCGCTCTGAGCGCAGCCCAGCTTGGCCGACGATGGCTCGTACTTTCCCTATTTGTAGCTAGCGGCCGCAGCGGTCGGACGAGCGGAAACGGATGAGCGGCGCGCGTTGACGCACGCCGCCAGCGGGCACGTGCCCCGCTGGAAAAGCCAACGGAACGACCGGTCTGTGCACTGGCTGATCGGCTTCTGCCCTTCCCGGGCGATCTCGGTCGTCAGTTTGTTGCGCGCAAGCCCCCGGCGTAACAACCGGACTGTACCGCCGCCCCCTGTTTTCCAAAACTGGTTTGCGACCCTGAGCGCGAAGGAAGGAGGGGGTGTAACACCTTTCGCTTTTTACCAGTGACTGTGCTCCCTCTAAACAATCTACAATCAACAGCTGGCCGGCGGTGTATTATGTTTTTTTATACGGGCGCCTAGATTGATCGCGCGTGCGCCTGCTTATGCTGGGCCGATTGGCACGAGATGGGCCGCTTTGACAGTATCGATCAAGTGGGCCTTCAAGTGCGCTGTCAAGTACACTTGTAGCATAGTGCGCTCACTGCAACCTTTTTTTGTATTCCCTTTCACCCCTTCTCTTCTACGCGTGGTAGCGTCGTCTGATCGTCACGTGGAGACTGCGAGGAGTGCGGCTGCGTTGAGTGATAAGGGCCTAAAAATGGAAGAAAGTGTGGCGCGATTTAGCGCACCCAAAAAAAAAAAAAAAATGCAGGCACTGATAAAGCGACGCGACAGCTTTCGTTCCTTTTCTATGTGCGACGTAAATGTGAGTAAAACGATCTCGCCTTTCTCTTGACTGTAGCTCGGCTGATTGACAGTTCTCAAATTGAACTTCGCTTACGCCCAGTCGAGCGACCGAAGATGGTGTTGCCTTTAACATCTCGGTCGCGACATGTTGGATACAGCCGCTATCAGGTACTGTTTCCGCGAGGAGCACAGTGCATGCGCCTGACACGCGACGAGCGCGTTTACGCAAGAAGCATATTGTTAGGTGGGCGTGCAGACCGGTACGATACGGATCTGGATACTCACGGCGGGCAAAGCCAAGAAGAGCAAGCAAACACGGCTGGTCAGAGGAAAAACCCCTCTCTGAGCGCGCAAAAATGCCATACTTGTCCTTGCGACTCTCTTCTTGCCCACGGCGACCTATTCCCGGCCGCTGCACCGCGGTGCTGCTACCCTCATCAATTCTTCACAGATAAAGGATTACTAGCGTCCCCGTTGCCTTGGTATCGGGAGCAGAATCTTTATCCGCCGTTCATCAACCAACTACGTCAATTATGTAGTGACCGCGCGTCTGTTCGATGGAAAGACCGGAGCTCTTGGACAAAAGCAAATGTCTTTCTGTTGCAAACATGCGGGCCATGCGTTTTTAAAGTTCACCTGGCCCAGGCTTTGCAAAGCGCCCGTATAGGGACATTAATTACCCCAGGTCTTACCTTATCCAAACAGGTCGTCTATTGATCGCCCCGCCGCGGTGCACGGTCTAGTGTCTAAGACACTCTGCTCCTGACCCACAGGTCGCGGGAGCGAATCCGGGCCGTGGCTGCCACATTTTGGATGTAAGCGAAAATGCTTGGGTCCCATGTTCTCATATTTGGGTGCACGTTGAAGAACCCCAGGTGGTCGAAATTTCCGGAGCCCTCCACTACGGCGTCTCTCATAATCATATGGTGGTTTTGGGACGTTGAACTCCACATATCAATCAATCGTCTATTGATCAATAGTGGCTAATCCAGCCCCCCCCCCCCCCCCCCCTAAAGCTTGATTTTCCTTTCATAAGTTGACAACATGGGTTTACTTATTCACCGCCGCATATACTCGCCGCTTTTATTCACCTCACTGCGTCCTTTCATTAACATGTATATGCATACATACAAAACTCCTCCGACACTGATAGAAATACTGGCATTTAACGTACGGTCGTAAATGCATTGTGTGGGTCGTTATTTTATGGTTTATATGTAACCATGCATATACTGAAGCGAATGTATCGTCCGTTGCCAAGGTGAGCGAAGGCCAGATATTACGCGGAACGGTCGGTCGATATCAATGCGCGTGCAGACTATGTATGAATGAAAGGAATTTTTTAAAAAACACTTGTTTTTTTTTTTTTTGCTCATAGGACTTATAAAGTGATCATTTCATACCTATGAATTCAGCAGAGAGCAGACTTAACTTTCTCTTTAGAATGCTGTACAAAAAGTAGCAGAGCTTGTAACTTTTAAGAAAAAAAAGAAGATCAAGTTTGTCATTGTGTCACTTTAGAATGCCTAAAACAAAAAATCTGAATCTCACATTTATTTATTTTATTTATTTAGTTTGTATACATAGAAAGCACGGACAAACAGAAGAAATAGGGAGGGACCTTGGAGATAATGTTTAATATACTAGTACCACTGTAATGCGAAAAATACTCTCTTCGCTTTTCGTACATACATGTATAGGATTTGAAAACATACCATAGGATTCGAAAACATATCCGAAAACCCCTGTCAAGAACAAACAGATTGAGAAAGTTTTCTAAGAATGTTCAAAAGAGTGAGAGTAAAACAGGGAATATGCTCTCACAATATTGAGACTCCTGTATTACTCCTTTGAGAGGAAGTGTAAGTAAACATAAAATGAGGATCCCAATGACGTGGCCCCTTTCTATGACTATCTTAGTTTTCGTTCGGAAGTCGCGCAAGAGGGTGTTGATTCTTGAAGTATTATTTAGTTATCTCGGTTAAATTCACGTAAACCGGCGAAGAAGTACAATCAGCCTTTTTAGGTGGGTGCGTAGACAGCTGTCAACCTTAATTCCTTGCTGCGCACATCACTGTGAAATTGTGATGATCAATAGCCGGGATGGTCAGTGCTCTTTAAAAACAAGCTTAAACAATTCGGACACGAACGCAATCATTTTTATTTCCTTTCGACAGAAGTTGAAAGCGTTGTAGAAAAATTGAAGACGCAATGTAGAGCTAACAGAGATTCATGTATATGTCCGGCACCGAGGGAAAATGGGAAGAATAGATGCGTTGGTTTGGTATTGTAGGGAAGCTACTTGTGACATCTTCAGTAAGAAAAAAAAAGAACATATTTGAATAAAGGTAATAAAAAAATGGGCACAATTTGCAAGTTTACCTTCACTCTGAGAAAAAGAGAGAGAGTATGTGTAACACAAATTGGCGAGCCGTGATTTGCCGCGCATGACTCTTTTTAAGTCTACATTGTGGAAGTTCACGCTGTAAGTTAAGCAGAGGTTTGGTCGCTGCGGGTCTGCTTGCGGCGGTCGCTTCATAAGTAAGTCATCACGCTTCAGTTTTCAAGCTTTCTGAATGGCGTCATCAATTACATGTAGGTGGTATTTTTTTTTTTTAATCGAGCATAAGTTTTAGCCTCTGTGAGCTCGTGTCAAAATCAGCGTCTCTTCAGTAGATTCGCTTAAACCGGTGAGCCTGGCTGTACGGAATACTGTTTTTTACAGTGGTGCGGGTGATCGCTTTGGTAATGGAGGTATTGCTTCGATCCGTTGGTTTAGAGACGCGTTTACTCTCTTTTTCGTCTCAAGACTCTCCGAAGAGAGTGTAATAATCTCCAATGAGAGTTCAAATGTTTCTTTAAACAGAGTCGTATACGAGGAGAATCAGGATTCTCAAAAAAGAGTCAGAGGACTCCCTTTTTTTTTTTCTTCTTTGGGTGCAGGCTTGCGCGGTATGGGATTTATTTATTTATTTATTTATTTATTTATTTACGTTACCTTACAGGTTCCCGTAGGGAAATTGAGTAAGAGGGGCGAGAAAAGAAAACACAAAATATAACAGAAGCAACAGAGTACAAAACGTTACAATGTGGTAATACAACATAACTTACAGAGGAAGGGCATGCAATAACAATGTAGTTACAAAGGTGGTGTCTGATACAAAGTTGAATAAATGACAGGTACTCAAAATAAATGGCGCCAAAATATGAGCACGAGGAACAAGGTCAGAACACATTTGCAGATATGTACAGGTATACAAAGCTACATTTTTATGGAAAATAATGCCGGTATATACTTGGTTGCGGAATAGTGTATGGTCAGTGATTGAAACTATTGTGTTAGGAAGATACTTCCATAGTGTTACGGCTGTGGGCAGTGCTGATAAGTTAAATGCTTGGGTGCGGCCTTAAATGCGTTTGAAACTTCGCTGGTTGTTCAGTCGACTTGACATGCGCAGAAGGGCGAATAGATGAGCAGTTTATATATTTGTGAAGTAAGCAAACGATTGTAACAGCGCGACGTGTTTCCAAGGGTTCGAGATAGTTATCAAATTTTATTTGAGTTGCACTAAAAAGACGGCTATATTTCTGAGAGATGAAACGTGCAGCACAATTTCGAATCGATTCGATCGTAGAAATTAAGTATTTTTGAAAAGGGGCGCCTTCATCCCTGTTCGCGGAGTAAGCGGTGATCTATTCGACGACGCCGCCTCGTTTGCCGACTCGCAATGCGAACGTCGCGATCTGGGCCACTGGCTGCGCGCGCGAGCGACCACAAAACAAAAGCCGAGTTCGCGGCAACGGAAGTCGGCGAAGCTCGAACAGGTGCCCGCTTTCGTAAGAACAGACTCGCCGAGTTGCGAAGGGTGCGCGCGCGCCGAGGCCCCGTTACGACAGCTCGCTTGTATTTCGCTTCTCGAAGTCTGCGGCTGGCTTTGATCGACGCAGATTGCCTTCCTCCGCGCACCGTTAGAAGCGTGCAGCAGTGCGGAAGCGCTTCGAAAACGCAATTGTCCGCTTGCCGCACGTGGTATGCTCGAGGGTGATGAAAGCAGCTAGATTGCTGGTCTAGTTGAAATACTGAATTTTAATGGCTTTTCAGTTCTAAGGTGAAATGGAGGGGGGGGGGGGGTAATATTAATGCTAGCATGAAAAAGAAAAGGGCCTGTAGGAACGTT